TATAAATCTTTTTATATGTGTGTAGAGGAATTAAACTTAAGCCAATAATTTTTGTTCTTTTTATTCTTTCAATATTCTTTCTTGCAGTCATTTTTCTAATGTAAGAATGTCATACTGTAATTGATAAAATTAACATTTGAATATAATCTAGAACAAATTCTTTCTTATTTTAAAATTATGATCAGTTTATCATTCAAATAATAATAGCATGCAGCAGTTGTATGTGTAATAAGTGATTTATGCAATTTTTGCAGTATACTTTTGAAAGAAGTAATGAAGGAAGATATAAATAATAAAAACTTGCAAAATGTATCTTTGGCAATCAATGAAAGTAACATGAAATAATAATAATGATTAGGCACATAAAGAAATCACAGATATCATACAAAGACACAATATTATTAATCATATTATCAGTTACATATAAAAGACCCGCAATGAAGTGAAATGCTAATACTCGACAATTTTAAGCACAAAAAGAAACAATAATTTTTGCATTTCGAATTAAGTATCATGCATATACTATATGCTATGAATGGACTAGTTTTTGTAAAAAAAACATATTAGTCTGTTTGTTTTGTTTGTTATTACCTATGGCTAACTGATTGAAGTTAAGTAAATATGAAATTCAAATATTCATACATTATTACTAGTTTAGAGAAATTAAATTTGAAAAGATTAGCCGAATATAATTGCAAAAATTATAACATTTGTGGTAATTTTACATCTCTATTAATGATTTCAGTTATTAAATTTGTACATTTTTCAGTAAGGACATTTTGCATTTTTTGTTTTACATTTCGGTGATCGAAAGCTACAACATGATGGGGCGGGTGGAAAACAAAAAGCACATTTGCATAAAGGTAGCAAACATCTTGTTAAAATGAAATAAGCAACAAATAATGCAATAATATAAATAATCACATCTGTTATCATCATTACAAAATTGGAAATAGAGGATATACCATTAGCCCAATTGATAGGATTTAAATTACTCAAGAAACCTCCAACTGTAATTTTGTTACATTCTGGACAGTGCCCATCGATCTCTTTCCAAGTATTCTCAAGTAGATTGATCTGTAATCATATCATTAACCATGAAAAATCCAAACTAATAAACTGCTACTTACAGTTTAGTCATACAATTAAAACCAATTTAGAATATTTTTTAAATTAATTTCAAAAAACATGAGAAAGTTTGTAGTAGAATTACCTCAAGAGCAACTTCTTTAAATGAGATTATTCTACAAATTTCTGGCAGATTCGTGCTATCGTCAGCTCGAAGGCAAATCATCCTATCTCCACCATCAATTAGCGCAGGCAAAGGCACAATCAGAGTTTTGTTCGTACTTCGCATTTCACCAATGTAAGTAGTAAAACTTAAAATTGTAAAAAATACATTTTTAAAATAAACTTAATTGACTGTAAGTACTAATACAAAAACCACATTATCCGTTATTATAACACTATAAATTAATGTTATGAAAGTATAACTACTCATTTAGTTACTTCAGTTTTCATGCAGACAATTTTGATTTTCAGCAGAAAATATAATTCCAAATTATTTTGCAATATTTTTCAATAAAACTTATAATTAGTGATTAGAACTTACTAAAATTCGTCAATACTATTTCTATCAGTAGTTTTCTTAACAATGCCGTGTATTATTCCGGTAGCATTGTATACAGTTAAATTAAAAAATCGATTTGATTTGAAGTCAACGATTACTGTACCCGAAAAATCATCCAACTTCGAAAAATCATGAACAAATGACAAACTGTATGTGTTTTCATGAAGCTGAAATTTAAATTTTTAAGTAAAAACTTCTACTTTTTAATTTTTAACTAACAAATAAGTTTCTACAATCGTAAAAATAACCAACTTGTAACGCAACTTCTACATCAGTACCCTCAGAATGAGTAACCACAACATGCCGACCTGTTCCATCAATAATTTTAGCATTCTGTATCCATGGGTAAACTTGCTCCACAGGAGATTCTAAAGTGAAACGTTCCGCTTTCTGAAACTCTTTATTATTACTTAAATTACAAAAATGAAACATGTAGTCCATACTTTTACAATTCATAAACAAATATTTCAATGTTTTCATAATTTTTTCGTAAATAATTCCTTTGTCTTCTCCATTTTACAAGTTCTAATAATGTAATAGCTTAATGAACTTAAAAAATTAAAGGTTATTTTAGGTTTTTTAAAATAGCTTTCTCTGTTATACAATTTGGATTTTAATTTGAGATTTTTTCTTCTAGATATTTGCTTCTAATTTCACTGCAGCATGACCTTTACCATATTAGTATATTTTTACATCACTACGATTGCTTCAAAGTTTATATCATTCTCCATCTGGTAACTACATATGTATTTGAAATAAGAAAGTGATTATTAAATTTAAGCAAACGAACCTCAGGATCATTACGGTCGATATAATGATGAGCATCAAGATAACTTTGAGACTTTTGATCTTTGCAATTTTCTACTTTCGCCAAATGTATTCTTTGTATTTTAACCATTCCATTTCGCACTGTGAAATGTCCTGTTGAATCTTTACGAAACCATCCAAGTTTCTCGAAACTATACAGTAAATAAAATTGTCACTAATACCGAGTATTTAATTTATACTTTACGTTTACATCATTATTTGAAGTAGTTTAATTAATAAAAATTATTAATACAATCAAAAAGTAGTACTTATTTTCATTAATTTCATTAATTGCTTGTTGCCGTAGTTCATCCATTTCACCTCCAAAATTACTGGGCGCAAAATACATACCACTTTCAAGTTGATGACTTGCCCGACCAGCTGCGCTTACTCCTAATTCTAACCTCCGCCATCTAAATTTATTAGTTATGCATTGCTAATCAAATAATGATAATAATTTTCAGTATATAAGTCTTGCATTCAATTTTTTATTTCATTTTGCACAAATAATTTCTTTCAAAAATTTGTTTTGTATAAATTGCAAAAAAATATTCTAACATTGACATTCTACCATACATTTGAAATTTTGCATGCAAACAAATTATTGCAAGCATCAGAATATGCATTACCTATCTAGAAAAAGCCACTGAGTACGACCATCGACTTCAACTCGAACTGTACTTTTATCTTTTTCAATCCATCGACCGGCTGTATAATCATAAGCCACATATTTAAAAATTATAAATGTGGTCGGTTGTTCTAACTTTACAGCTGTATATGATTTGTTCTGATATGATGAGAAGCTCACCTGACAAAAGTATTCAATGCAATAGTAAATTGTATACAATTTAGAAGCAAAAGTAGAAGCGATGCATAATTAATTGTGAGTTGAAATGCTTTGCTATTCATTTTTGCTTTTAGGTTTCAAAAAAAAAATTGAAAGTATCATACAGAAAAGTCGAAAAGGAAAATTTTCAATTTTTTCTAGCAATGATTGATAGAAAACGTTACTTCACAGCATAATTTAGACTGACTACCACTCGTACAACCAGTATCTGCCTGATTCGGATGAAATGTTCGAAAACAACTTTCCTGTAAAGACGTTCGTGAATATTTCTTTTCTATGGAGCACAAAATTTTCATACTCGTTAGTTAGAAAGCTAGCTGATTGTTTTCGAAAGTGTAAAATTATTAAATTTAATTGCTAATCAAAAAGAAGAAATCAAGATATGGATTTGAAATATCACAAATTTAGCTATTTATCAGTTTTGAGTACTTTGTACAATTTAAATTATGGATAGTTTAGTTTGTCATAAAATGTTTAGTGATTTAACAAAAGAAATAAAAGCCAAATTCTGGTCTATATTATCTCTTTATACTTTTATAACAGATCAAAAATGATATTTGCAATTATGCATCGATTTTAGTTATCATTTCTAATCTATTATCTGTTTTAATATTATTAGCATATAACTGAAGAAACCGTAAAGCTGACCTGAGTTACGTTTCCACGTGAACAATAAGTGAATGAATACGTCCTGGCGGAACAAATGTCTGAGCTTACATCACATTCACATATACAATTTGTGCTCACCTCCGGTATAGCAAAATCATAGTGTTGAGAAATGGGATGATGATGCTCTAGTCGAGATAATGTTAAAGTATGTAGCCATCCTTGATCTTGCATTCTAAAATATATATATAATGCAATTTTTTTCCAAAATTTTACTAATTTTTTGGTATTGTTAATATTTTAATTGTTAATAATTTTCCTTAATAACTTTTCCTAATTATGATTTTAATACTTTTCTTATTTTTTTTTACTTCTCAAAAGTCATTAAGTTTTTTTTTCTCTTTGCTGATGAAAATTAATTTAAAGATTTAAACGAGCCCGCTCTTTTATGCTGAGAGATAGGATGATGATGCCCTGTTATGACTAATTTGATTTTGATTTAACTGACATTCTTAGTGCCATATATTTCATTACAAATATTTTACAAAGAAAAATTTTTGCCTATTTTAGCGCCAAAAAATTTTAATTCTAATTTTTTGACAAAATTGTAAAGCTTTTTCTTTTAATTAAAGATTTAATTGATAGTAATAAGCACCTTGCATTAATAACATCGATAAACAATGAATCTTTTTCAAGAGTTGCATTTTCGAGTCGAAAACAAACCGTATTTTGAAGACCTATTCGGAAATTCATTTGAATTGTCCGAGTTATATCATCACCAGATGCTGTAATTTACATTTGATGTAATAAGTTGAGAAAAAACAAATGTGTTTAATAAATAAGTTAATAAAAAAAACAAATATCAGTTCCAATGATATGCTCAAGTTTTTCAAAAAATTAAAAATTTCTAATTTTTTCTATCTCTCTCGTTGTGATTTTCTAAAAGTCACATTATTTACGACAGTTAAATAATGACTGTTGCTTGAAATTCTTCAGTTTTATGATTCATAATTTAAACTACAATTTCTCGGTTTCATTTTGAGTTTTTTGATTTGCATGAATTTAAAAATGTTATTAATTTATCGAGAAATCCATTTTTTTTAATAAAAAAATTTTTTTCCATGATTCATTCATGAAATAATTATAGACTGATAATATTATAATTCAGTAGCAAGTGATATTGCTTTTAAAAGCTAATAAACTTTGATCTGCTTATCAAGGCAACTATCCATGTTGCAGTTCAATCTCAATACAAACTGCAAATTGTGTCAGCATCGACTACAATTTCTTTTTGAGTAAAATTGATGCAAGAAATTAAGGATTACTTGAATCAGTAGTTCATTATAAATCTATAATTTGCATAAGTTTTATTCAGAAATGAAATCATTAATTATTCACAAACAGAATCATTTTTTATATGAATCAAAATCTAAAATAAATCTCAGACGCTTGTTCTATTTCTGGAAATTTTAATTTGTTAAATAACTTCGAAGACTTTGCATTTCGCATTTATTAAAATGTAATATAAGAACAAATATATACACATTTAGATACGTATAAACCATATTCGTGATTTTATATGTTTATAAATAATTTGAAATTTTGATGAACTGATATGCTTTCCCTTGCACTCAAGACTTACCATGGGATAGCGTAGATTTTATAATAGTCGTTTTGGTGCAATGTGGCGGCATAATGGGAAATAAAGGTTGGAACACCTCAGAAGTTACTGGAAGTGGTAAGCCGTGAATCCAAGGTATCAGACGCACGGCCAGAATCCACCTGAGTAAATTTGCCAGCCTCATGTTTTTCTCCCAGCACCCTTCAACAATTATACCTTTGATTTGATATTATACTGTTTTTTTCCTTTGAATTTTGTTACTAGTAATAATAATAATATTATTATTTGCTGGAATTTCGATACTAATTTTTTCCAGAAAAATTATTTTATTAAGAAAATATATTCTATGCAAAAATTAGCAATAATATTTTTAAAAATATAAAATATATGAGATCTACTAAAGCTGTTTTCTGTGCAAAGAATTTTCAGTAGAAGAAATGCTTAGTTATTTATACTTATTAAAATACTCAGAATTAATTGAAAATAAAGTGAAAATTTGGGCAAACCAAATGAAATAGTAGTAGAGGATCTAAAACAGAAAATAATACATACCTAAGACAAGTTACCAAATAAATTACTATGTCTGTTCATTTCGTCTAATTTCCAAAAATTTCTATCTTTTGCTCTCTTAACGTGATGAACAATTTGAATTATAAATTTTCGTCTCTTGATAGGTGCAAACGAGAATAAACATCAGTACCATGTCGTGTAATATCACTTATTGCTTACTGATAACTCACTGATGATAGTTTCTAAAATTAAAATTAGATTTGCTTTTTTCTTTTTTTTTTTATTTTCGAGAAAATACAAAGTGATACCAATTCTTCTAAGCAAATAAAATTTTTACTCTAAAAATCAGCTTTCCCATGGGAACTATCACTGAAAAGTTCAGTTTCCGTCTGTAAAAATTTGCATAAAAGATAAAACTACAAAAATCCGTTAACAAAATTTAGTGTTTGATTTGTTCTTTCATCAATACAGATTTGTTAAACTATTAAAGATGATTACTTTGGTAGCGATGAGAAATTTATTAATATGAGTAACAAAAAACAATGACTACTTTTACTTATTCTATATTAGAATGTAAGAAAAGTTAGTAGGAATAGTTTGAACGAAAATTTTGCTCAAAAATTTATTAGGAACTTCAGATAATGGTGAATAAATTTGTTTATTTTTTGTCAGTGCTATTAATAATGTACAAATTGATTCATTTTATTTCAAGGATCATGATTTTAGTCCTATCATCTAAGTTTATAGTGATAACTTGTGATTACTTTAAAATAAAAGTAAAATGGAAGAAGAAATATGCAAACAGACAGTTCAAATTTGCTTTTTTGTCAGCTGTTAATAATTATTAAAGGAATAATTTGATGAATCTTAAACGAAATGAATGCGCAATGAAAATTGAAAAGTTGAAGAAAAGGTAAGGAACGGGTATATTATCATATTGAACCTGAAGGAACAGTAGTGATAGTGGTAGAAATTTTATGAAGAAGCAAAGTCCGTGAAGTAATTTATGAGAAAACAGGTCGTTTCTCAATTAGACATACCTGACAGATGGAAGGCACTTTGTAATAGTATCTCTCTCGCAGCTGTAATAAAAATTTTGCAAATTAACGTAATATTAATTAGATTAACACGATTTTCGCATATTTATCGGCGCCTTGCATACTTGATCAATTCACACCCATCTTACTTTAGATAATGAACTTATTACAGTTAATAATCTTGAAAATATGCAAGATGGCATCGTTAATCAGTTGACTAATTTCACTGCAAATATATGAATTTCCCATAATTTGTTAATTAGTGATATATATTGCATAGCATTATTCAAATTCTTTTACAAAAGCATAAAATGAATTTTGAAGTACTGAAGTACTGAAGTTTTATTTTTAGACTGATTTCACTGTTCATAATCACTTAATTACAATTTATCTGTATAAAATTTTACAAGTATTTAAAACTTTGGAAAAAATAACTCTGCAATAGTTTGCTTCCTTTTACTATATGATAAAGGAACAATATACTTGTTGTACAGATGACTTTTATTAATAACAAAATTCACATACTAAAACTTCACTGAAAAAAAGGCCAGAAAATTTTTTTAGTTTTAAATTCAGCTTTCTATAACTCTCTATAAACATCATATATTATTATGATGTACGAAGTTGATTCAATACATAATTACCGTTCTTACAAATAGGCATTTTGATCAAAATGATAGCAAATATTTGTTTTTTCGCAGACTGACGCGTGCATATTACAAATGATTGAGTACCTTTTCACCTTTACCAGAACTTTATCAAACAGATAACAACATATTAGGACAAGAGCATATTATGTCAATTATGCCTATAGCATTCATCATCATTTCATTAGTACTGTTATTCTGATAATTGTTTAATAAGCGATAGAAATGATGTACACAGTTTTTATTTTGAGGATTTTAATGCAATCAAATTACAGTATGAAAAGTTTTAAAGATTTAAGGCACCATTAGTGACCATAATAAAATTATAATTTCATTCATTTATTTGCTTTAAAAGAGATTTTTGTTGCTAAGTTACACTTTTTTATTCAAATGTCAATTCTATTATTGCAGAATACAAATTAAACTTCATTGTTTCAAGAAAACTGTTTGGCATTGAGTTTATTTTTATTTTTTTCAAAACCATAAAATTAAATGAGTATATGGATTTGAACAGAATTTGTCAATGTTTACTATCAAACATTGCAACAAGCAATACTTTTACATCTGAAAGATAAAAACTTGCAGAATCATCATGCAATTTACGCTAATAGTGATTTTTGATGAAACATTTCGTTCTTTTTCTTTTTATTGTTTTCTTTAAAATTTTTTTTCCTCATTGATCAAAAAAATTTGTTCAAAAGAAAAGAATTGAACAGATTTCTAGCATTTAAGTTCAAAGCACTAAAAATTTGTTTTTATTACTAATATATTTCAAATATGGTAGAGATTTGCATTAGATACAAATATTTGTGTAATACTTAATAAACAAATAATAATCATATTGATAGTAACAGTCAATAATAACCGTTATGCATAATACTTTATAATACACCAGAAGTTATATTTGCTTTTCAATTAATATTTAAAAATTTTCTTTTGAATATCTATTATTTGCATTCTTTTATATCACACTCTGTTTGCTTATAATATTACAAGAAGTTAGAATAGTTTAACAGTTCAAATAAATTTTGCAACATGTTTGATACAAATATTTAGTCAGCCCGTCTGCCTGTCTGTATTTGCAAAAATTTGATAGAGTATATATAAAAGGATAAAAATTTCTGAAAGATATAAAGGAAAAACAAGTTTGAAAGATTAATTCCAACGAATATTGCATAATTAATATGCTAATTTAGGGAGTAAAACTTAATTACTTCTTTAACAATTTAAAGTTCTTTTTTATCATTTATGAATTTAAAAAAGTTTTAATTTTATATTTACTATTACTATTTTATTTGAATACTATTTTTTTTCTCAAAATTTACATTGTATTATTTTATCAAAAAGATTACTTTGAAAGGCTTCTTGTCTTTTTTTCTTCTCTCATTAATTTCAAATTAACCGCAATAAGAAAACTTTGATTAAAAGTAAAGATAATTAACCGCTTAAAAGTGAACTTTTATTTTGTTCCACTTAATAACTTGCCGACATACTATAAACTCAATCAATCATTAATAATAGATCAAAAAGAAACTAAAATTGCTAAACTACCGCTAATTATTAAAAATTTGTTATAAACAAGAAAATATTTTATTTATACTTTTGTAATAGAAATAGTGTCGGAAATTTTCACAAACTAAATTTAATGCAAAAGTAATCAGTCATTTATTTTGTTTGTCAATTCATTAATCAATCAGTCATTAAATGTGGCTGATAACAAAAAATTGAAAAATTTAGTAACTTAAGTAATTAGTAAAGAAATAATAATGCAATAAGTAATTAATATAATTATTTTATTAATTACAAAAAAACAAAATGAATAAAAATTACTTCTTTGACAAGAATTATAAATATCTGCAAACAACTATTACAAATTGCATAAATAATACTATTTTTAATATTTCACAAAGTTCAACAATAAAAAATGTGCTCAATTTTAAAATACTGCTAAAAAACGTGAAAATGACAATTTTATTCTATTTTAAGCGCTAATTTACTTACTAAAATAAAAAATAAGTAAAAAGTTTTGTTTAAAAATTGGCATATTTGATAAATGAGCAAAATTTATCATAGAATGCATTTGACGATGTTAAGAAAAAACTAACAAAAATATTAAAGTTTCGAAGTATAAATAATAATTTTTAGCACAAAAAATAGACTCTATTAATGAAAGAAAAAAAAGCAATAAAAATACGGAGAGATCATTATAAAACGAACTGCTTGAAACGACCTCGTCCGGAAAACTTTTTCTACAGCATACTCTATTTCATTAGCAAAAATAATCATAATGATGGCAATAAAAATGAAATTTCATTGCTGAATAAACTTGAAATCAACTGATTTAATATTATTTGCTAAGAAAAAGGTGAGAATTTGGTGTAATTATAAGAAATGAACGGTTTACTTTTTATTATTATAATAACTAAACTGATCTTAATTACTGCTCACATAATTGCTCATATCTCAGCTATGTAAAATATCCTCTAATTTTTATATAAAATTAAATATTTTATTCTAAAATCAACAATGAGATAATATGAAAAATCAAAGCAAATTTAAATATTTCATTTTAGATATTTTATTTTTATCAAATTCCAGTTTAATAAAGGAAATGAATAAAAGTAATTAAGAAAATTCATTGATAAAAAATAATCATAGCATACTACGAATTAAAATCATTTTTTAAATAAAATTTCTGAAAAATGTAAGAAGTAAATTAGAAGTTGTTTAGATATTCAACGAGAAAAATATAAATTAACAAGGAAATGAGCAGATGAAAAGATAGACTGTCAAATCGTCTGAAGCATGCGAGTGACCTTTCGTTTTTTTCATTACAAAAATGAATTACAAAAGTTGGTACTCAAATGATTGAAAATTCTCAGGTTGAAGCAAAATGATTGTGGCATAATCTTAGAAGAAAATCACCGAAAATGATCTCTTTAGTTATTCATTTGTCGGCCATAAATATGAAAAGGATTTTAATTTTAATT